ATTTATAGTACGAGAGTGATGGGGTGGATGGCATGAGGAGATGTGAATTCCACATGTAAAAAGTACGTACAATGTAACTACTCCCTTGTCCTTTTTACAATTTTGTAATTATTGTTTCAATATATTGTATAATTTATATTATATTTTATATTTGGTTTTAATATCTTGGAATACTGAACAGTGAATACAACATTATATTCCATCATGTTTTAGCAAAATTATAAAATAATTTCTCAACTAGGATAAGACAAAAAGAAGTGGCTACGATCTCTTCTGCGGTTTGTCACGGTGGCAGTGGAGAACACAGCCCCCACCATGCGGTCTCCATTGTGGTTTGATCGTATGCGGCTAAATTTGGCCGCATGTCTCTCCTCTTTCCCTACTCTCTTCTCCTACCATCTTTCATTGTGGCATTCTCAATTTTCACGACCAAATAAAAAAATTTCTTTATTCTTATTTAAAATAGAGTATCCTTTTTGTAGAACATACTAATATGAAATTTGTCCCAAAACAATTTCTCTAAATATAAATCTTAGTCAAACCATTTTTGAGAAACATTTTAATATTAAAAAGCTCCGATGTCAAAACGCTGATACAAAATCAAAAGCATAAACTAGTTATTACAGGCCTACAACTCTTTATTATATTAATGACCTAAATCTCTTTTAACACTTCGTATATATAGTCACTTATTCCATAACATTCTTACTACTACCTATGATACGAACAAATTGTGTGGGGAGGGCTTGGAGCCTAGTGAGCACATAGGGGTTTCAACCCACAATAACATAATTAAAATCTTTTCGATATATATTTCACACCAAACAATTAACCCGATTAACCATTCCTATTATTCTCACTCCCTGATCCTAAAATAATAATCTCAAGGGACATGTCCTAAATGTAAGAACCTGAAATTTAGAGTAAGTTGACTTGTAGTCAAATATTGATCAAAAGGGTAAAATGGTCAATTATGAGAAAGAGATGAGATTATGAAGTTGTAACTTCATAATAATGACCAATAAGAGTTCAAGTCACTAAGAAGAGGTTATATGAGCAAGTCCAAGAGAGAGAATGCATAAGAACATGCATTATTGGTCAAAAGGGTAAAATGAGTATTTTATGCTTTTTAGGCCAAGTTTGCGACTTAATAGATTAAGACTCATATTAAGTCAATGATAAGTGACTTAATAGATCCATAAAATATGTTCCCGCCTTCTCGTGGATATAAAGAACATTGAAAATGGGTAAGAGACGAAGAACATATGAGGGTTAGAAGTTGGGACAAAAATATCCCAAAGCTAGAATGAATCAGCTAAGGGAACTTTGTCAAGCAATTTCCGCAACGCAGAAAATAGAAATCCACGGCATGGTGAATGATTATGTAAAAAAGACAAGCAACGTACTTTGCTCTGCGGTGCGGCATATGGGTGCCACGACATGGTGGCCAAAGTAGGTTGCTAGTGGAGAATAACACTACGACGTGGCAAATAGAATGTCACGGTGTGGCAAGCGTTTAAGCGACCTTTGACCGGGATCAAAGTGGTATACACGACGCGGGGAATAAGTATTCTTTGCCCGCTTACGAGACATAAATTAAGTATATTAAGCCATTCATTCTCACCATTTGACACCCCCAATCCATAGGAGTTGAGCTATGGCGATTTCGAGGAAGAGAGACGATCAAGAGACGACGTTGGGTGTTGGTAGCTTGGATTGAAGGAGGAAAAAACATTAGGTATTCATCTACTCCTTAATTAAGCTAGTTATGGCTTAGTGGTGATTTGATGAATTGATTAGATTGATTGGTTTGATTAGCCTATAGATTGAGTATGATGCTAGTGATAATGTTAATTAAGCTAGTTAGGGCTTAATGGTGCTTTGATGAATTGATTAGATTGATTGGTTTGATTAGCCTATAGATTGAGTATGATGCTAGTGATAGTGTTCATAAGCTTTGAATGAGCTTTATGTGTGATTTCAATGGTGAAATCACTAGGTATGAAGTTAGGGTTTGAAACCCTAAACTAGTGATTATGTGTAATTGATGCATTAGAGTTAGATTGTGATGAATTAGTGTAACATCCCCCTATGGCACGTATCACAATATTGTCCGCTTTGGGCTCCTGGCACGAAAACTTCCCTAGGGGTCACCCATCCCTAAATTGCTCTCTCCTGGGCACGCTTAACTGCAGAGCTCTTATGGGATCTGTTGCCGTCACGGCTTTAAAACACGTTGTGACAACGAAGGTATCCACACCCCTTATAAAGAAATGTTTCTTTCTCCTTCCCAGCCGATGTGGGATCAGGTGCACCTAACTTGCCCGCCTTCACCCCCCATTCTAGGTTTCGACGTCCCCGTCGAACACATCGGTCCGTTCCCCAGCTCTGATACCAACTTGTAACGTCCATAAAATTCATGAAAATTTTAAACTTTAAAAACCAATCCACAAATCATCATTGTTTACAATTTAGTTTTCAAAACATGTTTAATATCAGAGTTTTCCTAAAATCATAAATCAAAACACGAGGAGGTGCACGATCACGCCTTCACCTTTCCGCGATCATCTGAGGTACCTGAAACATAACCCAAAACTGTAAGCCTAAAGCTTAGTGAATTTCCCCCAAAGTACCAACACAACACATAACCATAATAATAGAAGCAAACAACATGCATACAGATCCTTCAGTCTGACTGGAACGCCCCACCGGCCTACAATCTATCTGGTACGCTCACGGAACCTTCAGCATGACTGGTACACCTCACCGGGCCTTCAGCCTATCTGGAACGTTATTCGGGCCTTCAGCCTGACTGGTACGCCCTACCGGCATGAAGTATATCCAGGACGTCTTGGGTCTCTTAGCATTGAGCACATACCAGGACCACCTCAACCCAACATACCATCACATATCAACATATACAATATCAAACCCTAGCTAGCATATACAGACACTCATACAGATTTAACAGATCACTAAGCATATCATCATCCTATATACTAGAATACAGATCTAATAGATCGCTACAACATGCAAGCATGCGATAAACCAGGATAACAATCCAAAGGGGTTGGCTTTCGTGCCTTCGACCCAAAAGTACAGTGAGGAAAACTCACCTCGCAAACTGAACATAACCGATGAGGCCCGAATCTGAATCTCAGCTCTCTAACCGATACCTATTTCCCATCAAGTGACCAATTCCATCAAAATCCCAAAATACCCTCAAGGTCAAACTTGGTCAAAGTCAAAGTCAAAGTCAAGTGGTCAAACCCACTAAGTCAACCCAGCCGAGTCGAACCAACCGAGTCAACCCAACCGAGCTGACCCAGTGCGAGTACGCAGGGCATACTCCGGAGGTACGCTTAGCGTACGCGAAGCCTCATAGAAAACCACCATCGGGGTGGTTGACCGAGTACGCGGGACGTACCCTCACAACCTCCAAACTCCATTTAGTGCTTAATGGCTTAAGCACTTAAGCCCATATTTCAGATCCATGACCAAAACACCCCCTAGAGTAATAAAGTTTCCAACTTTATGACTTTACACGCCTAATAAGAGCTTAAAACAAGGTCTCAATCCATAAATACCTTATACAAGATGCATGGAGCAATCCTAACCAAAGGGGCTTCATTTTTATGGCTAAGGACCCTTCTTAGGGTCTGAAAGGACAGCTCGAAATGACAAGAACAAAACATGCACAAGATGGGACCTTTGGGACAAGAAAAGCAACATAAAACACCCAAAAAATGGGATGTAACAACCAAGACATCAAGGTATAGACTTTATACCTTCTGGAGCTTCTGAAGAAGGCAAAGATCCCAGATCCACAAGCTTGCTTCCACTTTAAGGCTCCTCAATTAACTTCTTTCTCCTTCAACACACCAAGAACACACTCTTGAGCTCAAAGCACACACTAAGAGGGCTAGGGTTTGCAAAAACATCTCAAGGGATGTGGAGGCTGAAAAGGTGAGGAGAAATGAGACATAATGTTGCTTAAATACCACCCAAACCCTAAAAATTAGGGTTTCCTCCTGAAGCTAGTACACCTGTAACATCCCAAAAATACAGTCTAAAAATTTCGTTTTAAATCATGAATAAAACCATATCTATCATTCAACATATAGAAATCATGAATCGTGTATCCCAAGAATATCTTAATGTCTGTCAAATATATATCAGGGTATAAACATCCCAGGCTGAATAAGTGGTGTGTGCACTGCAATCATCCCGAGCTCCTCTTTTGGAAACCGAAGTACCTGAAACCAAAACTGAAAACCGTAAGCACGAAGCTTAGTGAGTCTCCCCAAAACTACCACATACCATACACATAATCATGCTACTGAGAGATACGGGCCCCGCCCACACTCAAGGAGATTTGGGCCCCGCCCACACTCTGCTGACTAGGAGATACGGGCCCCGCCCACACTCCGCTGACTAGGAGATACGGGCCCCGCCCACACTCCGTTGACTAGGAGATACTGGCCCCGTCCACACTCCGCTGACTAAGAGATACGGGCACCGCCCACACTCCGCTGACTAAGAGATACGGGCCCCGCCCACACTCTGCTAGTCATAAAAATATTTACAAGTACTACACAAACAACAAGTATCACTAAGCATATAAAATTGTACCATATCAGCTATCTATGAGATACGGGTCCCGCCCACACTCAGCTACTATGAGATACGGGCCCCGCCCACACTCTATGAGATACGGGCCCCGCCCACACTCACATTCCTAACAACACATATAGGTATTACGCAGACAACATGTATAGCAATCCAATACTCTGACTGATATCTATACTCAGATAATAATGAGATACGAGCCCCACCCACACTCAACTACTATGAGATACGGGCCCCGCCCACACTCACATTCCTAACACCACATACAAGTATCACACAGACAACAAGTATAGCAATCCAATAATCTGACTGATATCTATACTCAGATAATAATGAGATACGGGCCCCGCCTACACTCGACTACTAACATA